ATAATCCTAAGGGGGAAAGAGAAGAGCACATTAAGATTCTAGAGGAAAAGGGTAAATGGTAGAGGCTGGTAAAGAAAGAATCTGGGGAGACGGATCTAAGAACCAAATGGAAGAGATAACATTGGGAGGTGGGGCTGGAACTAAGGGGTTTATGGAAATAAACACACGCACCTCTACCGGAACTCTCAGGAGATATTTAATATAGTTTTGGTGCCTTACAAGTTCCTTTCTTGCCAAATCCCTTACCTCAACAAACCATAAAAAGCATATGTTGTTGTTAATTGCCACCAAGTTGGTTCCAACTCATAGCAACTCTGTATAGGGTTTCCGATGAACAGCTGCCAACCTTGCAGTCCAGCACATTTACCCAGAGTACCATACCAGGACTCTGAAAAGCATGTAAAAGCCGAGATTCTGTTGCCAAAGTGAATCAAAGAACTGAGAAAACTTAAAGGGACAGCTCATTCAGATTGTTCAAGGGAAAAAAAAAAAAATCTGCCTCTGAAATTATTGGGTCATTTCAATTCTTATTCCAGAGTCATATTATTCTGCCTTGTGTTTTCAAAATATTTTGCAGTTTTTATAAAGCACAGTCATATTGTTTAGCAGTGATTTTTATAAACTTTCTTGTCATACAACTCATAGTAAAAATAATAAACATTTTACATTACAACCCAGATTATGTATGTACAAGAGGAGCTTCAAAAAGTTCAAGGGAAAATTCCATTGTCTTGTAATGAACTCCATTTTCCCAAGAACACCTGGTGGTGTTAGATGCCATTAAATCAGTTCCCACTCACAGGATCCTGTATGTAACAATGAAACTGCCTGGTCCTGAGTCATCCACACAATTACTAGGCTTGAGCCCACTGTTCAGCCATTGTGTCAATCCATCTCATTGGGGATCTTTTTTTTTTTTTTAATCAAGCATGTCCTTTTCCAAGAACTGGCCCTCTAGATAACGCGTCTAAAGTATATGAGATGAAGTTTCACCATCTTCACTTTTAAGGGGCATTTCAACTATCATTCTTCCAAGGTAGATTTGTTTGTTCTTCTGGCAATCCATGGTACTTTCTTTGACAATTCTTCACCAACATCCATTCTTCTCTGGTCTTTCTTATTCATTGTCCAGCTTTCACATGCATATGAGGTGATTGAAATTACCATGGCTTGGGTCAAGCACACCTTAGTCCTCAAAGTGTCATCTTTGCTCTTTAACACTTTAAATAGGTCTTATGCAGATTTGCCTAATACAAGTTGATTTGACTGCTGCTTCCATGAACATTGATTGTGGTTCCAAGCAAAATAAAATCTTTGACAACTTAAATCATTTTTCCATTTATTATGATGTTGTTTATTGGTGAAGTTGTAAGAATTTTTTTCTTTATATTGAATTATAATCCTTACTGAAAGCTGTAGTCTTTGATCTTCTTCGGTACTTCAAGTCTACTGCGCTTTCAGCAAGCAAGGTTGTGTCATCTACATATCACAGGTTAATAAACCTTCCTCCAATCCTGATAGGGTTCTTCTTCATATAGTTCAGCTTCTAGGATTATTTTCTCAGCATACAGATTGAATACATATGGTGAAAGATACAACCTAGATGAATTCCTCTTTAAATCAGTGTTCCTTTGTTCCATTCAAATGACTAATTCTTGATCTATGTACAGGTTCCTCATGAGCACAATTACGTGTCCTGGAAAGCCCATTCTTCACAATGTTATCCACAGCTTATGATCCACACAATCGAATACCTTTGCATAGTCAATAAAACACAAGTAAATATCTTTCTGGTATTCTATGCTTTCAGCCAAGATCCATCTGACATCAGCAATGATATCATCCCTCATTACAAGTCCTCTTCTTAATCTGGGTTGAATTTCTAGCAGCTGTCAATTTAGTGCTACAACCATTTTTGAATTATCATCAGTAAAACTTTACTTACATATGGTATTTATGATATTAGTCAATAATTTCCACATTTTGTAGAAAGGGTCACCTTTCTTTGGAATGGGAACCTACTTATATGTTAAATATTATCCTAATGTACTGAACAAAATAGTTAAAAACAAAACAAAACAAAAAAAAAACCCCAGAAGCAAAGTAAGTAAAATCCATACAACCAAATCATAAACAGAAAATTCATGAAAAAAACAACAACAACAAAAACCAACAATCTTATTACTGGAATGTATTTTGATTTTTTTGTTTTCCTTATTAAAAAAAAAAAAAAGGTGGTCCCTCCCTCCCTTTAAACCATTAAGTTGACTTCTCAACTCATGTATTGAGACCCACAATTTAAAAACTACTCGTTTCGACATTACCTAAGCAGAGTGTGCTAATTTTACGGTCGTGACAATTAGAGGTTAAGTGAGCTACTTAAATTCACACACAATCCCAGGGAAACAATGGTGAAGTTTTACCTCAGTGCTTTAAATCCAATGCTACCCTCTCTATTACCCTGTGCAGCCCTAGCGTTTCTGCACCCGTTTCTCTTTATGAAATCTTGCCCTTGTCTGGAGTAGTTCTTCCTTCCCTTGCCAAGTAAACTTGCATTTCTGCTCCTAATCCCATCTAGAATGTTACCTGCTCCAGGATGCCTCTCTTGTGCCACTTACTGCATCCAGCTTGCCTTATAATCACTGTATATCAGATTAGGCTCCTCTCTACTGGGACCTTCTTAATAGCAGGGACTGCCTCATCTTTTTGTCCCCAGAGCTCAATGTTTACAGCATAGGTTTATAAATGTATACATGGAACTGAACTGAACTTAAGTGATTAAAAGAATGAGAAGGGTGTACTTCACTCTGGGAACAGAGCTAGAATTGCAAGATTTAGGCAACATCTATTTAAAATCTTAAGAGATTGGAAAAGATACCATAGTGGGGGGGGGGGTGCTCATTTTTCCTACTTCACTAAAGTCACACATTGAGTGGAGGTTTCAATGGTGTAAAACACAATCCACATTTTTTTAATCTCCCTAGTATCAGTAGCATAGTGGTTATGAATTGCGCTGTGAACCACAAGGTCAGCAGTTAGAAACTACCAGTTGTTCCGCAGGAGAAAGATGAGGCGTTCTGCTCCCGTAAAGATTTACAGCCTTGGAAACCCTGTACAGGGTTGCTATGAGTTGGAACCAACTCCACGGCACATAACCACCAACCACCACCAGCACCAGTAGTCCTGGTGTGGAGCCGTAGGATAAAACACTGAACCACAAGGTTAGTTTGAACCACAAGGTCAGCATTTCAAACTCACCAGCCACTCCTTGGAAACCCTATATAGGGTTGCTGAGTCAGAACAGACTTGACAGTACTTAACAACAACTGAGTCCTGGTGTGGTGCTATAGGATAAGCACTGGACCACAAGGTCAGTTTGAATTGCAAGGTCAGTGGTTTAAATCCACCAGCTAGCTGCTCCTTGGAAACCCTATGCAGGGTTGCTATGTGTCAGAACCGACTTGACAGCACTAAACAACAGCAAAGCACCGGTCAACAGATGTCGAAGCAGGTAACTAGCTAGCTTAGTTAACTTAATTCAAGAGAGTGACGATCCCTCCCTAAAAGGAGCTCAAGGAATAGATAGTGGGCCAGGAGGAAGACAGGCGCTCCTTTGCAGCAGAACTATGGACACCTTTCACTGTCATGGTGATCATTACAATGGGATAGTTTACAACTCACCCAAATGTAAAGAATCAGTTTCAATTTTCTAGAGCAAGAATCTACAAGGCACATCTTTGTCTAGGATCTCCCACCCTTGCTTCAATTCGTTTGGGTATGATGGGGCTGTGTGGTTGGAGTAAATATCCAGGTAAGAGGAAAAAGAAGAAACTCTTTCAAAAAGAGTTATTTAACTAAATATTGACCCAGACTGGAAGTTTTAAGTTTCAATTTTGTCTCATCACTAAAAAGTATGAGAACTCAAGGTTAAGATGACATCAGTTATGAAAAATTATACATACAAAATACTTTATCTGGGATGTATTGTAAAATAAAATTTCAATCCTATTAGATGTTTTTTTAAATGTAGATTTTTTAGCTAAGTGACCCCCAAGTTTCAAGTGTCTATAAACCTGACTTTATAAATGTACTATGGAAATTTTATATTATACAGTTCTCTAACTCATGGTTTTCAGACTTTACTTTAAATCTCAGATTCTAACTCTGTAGGAGAAGGTTAGAGTCCAGGATCTGCATACTTCAATAAGCACCCCATATTTGTTAGAGCTAGTTCATGTTGAGAAACCTACGTAACTTATGGCCTTCCTACTTCATGTATACATTTTTTACAAAAATAAAGACCACGTATGCACATCGTTTAGTAGCAACACTGAATAAGAGCATGTACAAATTATAAAACCACCACATTTTTTACAACTGTTTTTAATAGCACTTAGTCACATCATTTACAGTGGCATTAGTTTATGAAAGATATCTAAGACTGATGGGTTATTTAGTCATATCTTGAGTTTTTTGCTTTTGTTTTTCAATTGAGATTAGGGGAACTAGTTATGAGTTCACAAAGAATATTTCATGATGATATACTTAACTATAAATTCAAAAGGTACACAAGGCATTAATCGTTAACAGCAAATATGAATGACTTAATGAAGCCCATTGGTTCACACTGTTCAAAAGCACCCTCGCTTCTTGAAAGCTAATTAGCATACCAGATTGTTGACAGTCCATTGAGGATATGATCTGCTCATGTGCACATGCGAGGGCAGAGGGTGAGTTTCTGTGACTGTCCAGTTCAGAGTCTGATTCAGTCAGCTGTAATACCAAAGAGCTCCAGTCACAAGCAGCACTGGTATGTCCTCAGATGATACAGCTTCCAGTGCTCTCATTATCCAGGCTACCTTTACGCTTTTGCTTGCTGTCTCTTAAAAAGCAAAAAATATAAAATTCACCAAAATTCTGAAAGCCACAGTTTGTAAGCACTGAATGTTAGTAGCTTTGGCACCTGAAATTACAAATCACTTTCATTACAAATATTTCTTTCACTCTGGGTCAAGGCGAGGTAAAACGGGAAGAATAAGATTCCCAAATGCAGAGTCCTGAGTTATGAAGTATCCAGATGAATGTGCATGAGCATGCTGGAAAAGATGGGGGGAAAAAAAAGCAAGCTATTAAGAGTCTCAATTTTTCAACGAAGGCATTATAATTGCTTATTCTTCCTAAGTGCTTGAGGCCAAATGTATTTAAAAATCAGCTCTTGTGCTGCTAATTTCATATAAATACACAGGAGATGGACAATAATAAGGAATTCATATTAACAAGTTGCAGGTACTCATTTGTCATCCCCTCTACCTCCCTTATGATTCTCTTCAGTCTATAAATGAATCACAGACTTCTTGCTTTGTCCCCTGCAGTGGTTTGGAAAACTAACAACATGATCCCAAAGTATTCTGCTTTTGGCCAACAAAGCAAGAGCATGAGAAGGAAGAGCAGTAGTTGGAAGAAAAGGGGTGAGGCAGCTGATAACTAGTGATTAAAATGCCAAAATTCTGTAAAGAATGTTGAAATGTAAACAACAGAAAACTTGCAGAGGCTTCCCTACACCAATAAAGAAACAATTGTTTTTGGGTTGTCTCAATTGAGATCATCTTTAAAGTCCCTTTCCAATTCTGAGTTTCTAAGGTTTAAAAGCAAGGCCACTGAATTTTGGCAATTAAAAAAAAAAACGGCCCCAAACACTGGAAATCTTGATTAAATTATCCAACATCAATGAAATATTAATATTATTATTATGAAGGTTAATATATTTTTTTTAATTGATAGAAATGCCACAGGTATTCTAAGTCTTTAAACAATTCCTGCAAAATAAGCTGGCTATTCAAAAGAATCTACACAACAATTATAAACCAGTAATACTGTCAAAGGATGCAATGACATGACACATTTTTCAGTGTACTATTAAGTAAGTCAATTCCATTTTTAAGATCATTCTATCCATCCAAATATCCTAAACTCTTTGTGCTCAAGCAATTTCTTGGCAGGCACATCACAGAATCAATCATTATGGTGTCAACACCATAAAAGACACTTTCATTACTGCTCTATTGGTCCTTCAGATCCTGTGGGTATGAATGAATATCAGCAAAACCATTGCAATTACGTGCTGAACATTTTTACTGGTAATGCTTCACTGAAATATGAAAGAACTATGCAGGCTTCCAAGACTCAGGAAGTTCTATAATGAGACAAGACTGTCAGTTACACTTTGCCCACCTGCAAAGCTGCCTTCTGCTGGGCTGCAATGTGCTGCTGTTCAGCATGATCCCGGAAATCCTTATTAAGAGAGGGCCTGGAGAGCGCAATGCTAAAATAGAAAGCTTAGTTACTTGGCTGTGTAAAACTTACTTCCTTACTTCTGAATTACATTTTTTCATTGCATAGTCTGCCTAAGGATTAAAAAAAAAATTTTTCCAAAATAAGTCTTTTTTCCTTTCCCCCGGTTCTACACTAATTTATATGAAGAAAGTCTGTGTTACATGATATACTGGGGTTTCAAATGATCTTTTTATTTATAATTTATGGTTGCTCTATTTTCAAACAGATGAGGAACTACAGTTTATCATGAACCATATTAACATTTTTTAAATCTGTTCAAACAAACCACATGATATTCATAAATAGTAAAACCATACTTTCAAATTTGTTTTTTATAATGATTATACTTAAAGTGGACTCCAGGAGTGACACTATAGATAAGCACTGGACTGTGAACCACAAAGCTGGCTGTTCAAACCCACCAGTTGCTCCTCGGAAGCCTTATACATGGTAGCTATGAGTTGGAATTAACTTGACGGCACTAACAACAACATACTTAAATTACTATAAACATGTTTCACATGTAGAACACCTACTATATGCGTGGCTCTGTGCTAAACCCTAACCCACCAGCAACCAGTATATGTTGAGCTGATTCCGACCAGGGGCAGACCATGTGTCAGAACAGAACTGTCCTGACAGGCTGTCATGGCTGTGACTTTCTGGGAGTAGACTGTTGGGTCTGTCTTCCAGAGCACCTCTGGGAAGGTTCAAACTACCAACATTTGGGTTACTAGCCAAGCACTTAACTATGTGTGCCACTCAGGGGCTGCTGCTAAACACTAGGGACATAAAAACATAAAAAGACAAAGCTTACAAACATGCAATTATGACACAATGGGACACATGCTATAATAAGGAAATTAAGGTAATATAGGAAATAAGGATACCTCTTACAGCTGGGAGTTGACAAAGATCAGGGAAAACTTTATGAATGTTTTATTTAAGATAAAAACTGAAGAGTCAGATGTGGTGCAAGGAACAACACATGAGTAGGGGCAACAAACCTAACATGTTTGAAGAGGTTAAGAGTTCATAGTTATTGTAAAATAGACACTTGAGTGGGATAGAAAGGAATGTCTGGAAACATGATTACAGAATGCTTGTAAGCCTGTCTTCAGCCTATAAGTGACTGGAATAACTAAAAGGGGTTTTAGAAGTTTCCCAGTGAAATAGGCTTCTTGCGGAACCTTTGTAGTGTATAGGACCATCCAGAACCTTCTGAGATGGGCCATTCCCACTTGAAAGGACAAGCAGACCAGCCTGGAACAGCTTAAAGATAACCAGGAAAAATTCAAAACAAAAATGTCAGTCTGATTGGCTACTACAAGAACAAACAAGTTGTTCACCAGGGAGCCACCAAGGCAAGCAATCAAACCCCTCTCCAAGACTGAAACTCAAAGGGAACACATGAACAGTTATGTAAGTTTGCTGGTGACTACTTTGGTCTACTGGTGAGTAGAAGAGAGAGAAAGGCAGCAATGAAGAAATGGGCTGAGTTTGACCACATGCCACAGACTCCCGTTGACCTGGAGATGAGAAGAGGAAGGGCTGGTTGGTTCAAAGTGTGGTGAGACCTGGGGGCTCCTGAACTCATGGACAAGGGCATAGCCATGGAGGGCTATAGCTGAAAGTGAAGCATCCCCAGCTGATACGAAGTGAGAGGAGACATACAAGAATGCCCAAACTTGCAGATAAAACATATTTGACCTAGCCTCGATGGCTTGATGATCAGAACTCAACTAGAGGAAGATAAGAAAAATAATTTTTGATAAAGGAAGCAAGTGTAAATTGCTACAATTTAATGAGCTTGACCTATATTTATGGGTATAGTAGCTCAAAATACCAACTGAGAGGCAAGGAGTCTTCACATCAAGTATCAATCCTATCCCCTCTGTATACAGGATAGATAGGGATGGGCAACTTAGACGTTGTTGTTGTTGTTGTTAAGTGCCATCAAGTCGGTTCCAATCCATAGCGACCCTGAACAGGGTTTCCAAGGCTGTAAATCTTTATGGGAGCAGAAAGCCACATCTTTCTCCCTCGGGGCAGCTGGTAGTTTTGAAATGCTGACCTTGCGGTTCACAGCCTGACTTGTAACCACTACACTACCAGATTAGACATTGGCTACCTAAAATGAGGGGGCGATTAAGACATAAAGTGACTGGCTTATAAGTTTTCAAGAGGCAGTTTAAAGAGTGTGTGGGGAAGGTAGAGTCCCCACTGAATAGTTTTCATCTTGCTTAGACAGGTCTGGTGAAAAGAGGTGGGCATAAGATTCTTATGATTCAATAGAAAGTAATTTTCATAACTAATTGCAACTGTCACAACTATAAAGGCAGAAGTTTTGTAATAAAAGTAGGGAGTAGTTGATCTTACAGTCCAGGAGCAAAGGATCCTAAGATCATCAAGGGAGAAGAGCATGAGCAGAATGTGGGACCTTATCCAGAGAAGCAGTGACACCAGAGATGGAGGCAGAGATGAGGTCATGGAGAGAGAGAGAGAGAGAGAGAGAGAGAGAGAGTAGCTGAGGACTTCTAGACTCATGGAACGCGAAAGACTGAGTGCTGGCAGCCAGGAGGCACACTTGCAGAATGTGCCCTTTGGTTGTTTAAATTATATATATTCTGAGCAATGAGCCTTCATGGGTACTCTGCTGGAAGGCTAACAAAGAGAGGGGAGAGTTAGCATGGTGGCTGAACAGAACCCGGATCCAAGGGAAGACAGTCAAGATGGGAGAGAGTGAATACAATAAAGATCTTTAAATTACCTAATTTACCCATTTAAAAAGTAGGCCATTGGCATTAATTTTAATCACAAAAATCAAACAAAATACTTTTCTTTTTTGAAAAGGAGGATATAGGAGAACTTAAATATTCTATTTAGATTTAGTACATTTACTATCTGATTAGTCTTTTATTTCCCACAAAATCTAACCAACAAGCAAAATAATATAAATAAATTCCAATGTCAACAACGAACTGCCAACCAATTTGAGTAATTTTTCCAAGAAATGTTTTATATCACTGAACAGAAATATCCATCATTCTTTAAAATCTGTATGCTTACCAGAAAACAATGTAAAACAAGTAATATTCCATCCATTCTATTTAAGAATGTGTCCAATAACAACACCACCAAAATACTACAGTATTCAATACCTAGCCCCAGGATGATTTGTCGAAGATTGGTTCTGCATGAGTAGTTTTCTTTTTTCTTTGTCCAGTTCAGCCAAGATTGCAACCCTATTTTTATTTTGGAAACCTAAAGGAGAAGGGGAGAAAAATAATAAACATTTTAGAGCTATTTTATTAAGGTAGGCCATTCATGGAGTCCAGGTGTGATGCTGTAGGGTCAGCAGTTCAAACCCACCAGCTGCTCTCGGAAACCCTATACAGGTGGCAGATGTGAGTCAGAACCAACTCTGTGGCACATAACAATAGGCCACTTATAACGAAGAAAGCAAATTTTTTATTTTTTGAATATGATAATGTAGTTTTCCCAAGATGGTTACTGTCTCCTTGCTGTGTATTTCCAAACAACTGTACCAGCATAACAGAAGAGCAAAATTTTAGCAGCATAATACATGGCTATATATATGCAAAGCATAACACTGACTGAGGACTTGTAAGGCTTCTGTCTAAAGCCATTTAATCAAGCTGTCAAAGACAACAACAATAACAAAACTCTATAGCCCTAAATGATGACACAACCAATCTCTACCCCCTACAGTCTTTGGGAGGGCAGATTTTCTTAGTTCTCAATTTTATACCTCTGTAAATGCTTACTTCATGAGAGAAAAAGTATTAGATCTACTCAGATTTTAAAAATATATTTTCTCTTTCTCAATAGCTTTCATTGTGGACTAAGCATTGGTCTGCTAACCATAAGGTCAGTGGTTCAATTCTACCAGCTGCTCCATGAGAGAAACAAGAGGCTGGCTGCTCTCAAAATTGCTTCCATAAATCCTAAGGAGCAGATCTACTCTGTCCTATAGGGTTGCTTTTAATTAGAACAAACTCAATGGCAGTGAGTTTGGTTTGATTACAGTTCATTTTAAAGCAACACATAATCTTCCAAGGAACAAGTCAAAGAATTGTAACTGGCAAGAAAGCAATTATGAGTGAAAAAATGGAGCGTAGTTGGCAGGAAACAAAGACATAGCCTTTCTCACATGCTCACTACCAGGCTGGAATACGAGTGTCACCCTTGCACAGGACCTGGAGCAGAGGTTGCAAATTCATAATCTAGCAGTAGCATCCAGTCATGTTTTAAAACCTGAACAAGATGTCAACATTGAAATATCCCGATACTGCACACAAAATTCCCAGATCTCCAGCTTTGCTTGAAACATTTCAAGATCTGGCAACAAGACATCTGCATGCCCCATTTTAGCAATTAGCTAGAGCTTAGGGATGGCTGTCTACTTCAGCAGGGCTCTCTCCAGCTTATGTTACTTATTGGCATTTGAGTTTCTGATCCTAGTCTAGATGACAAGGAGTACCAGTGGCATAGTAAATACTTGCTGCTAACCGAAAGGTTGGTGACTCAAGCCCACCAGCTACTCCATGTGGCAGTCTGTTTAAGATTTCCAGCCTCAGAAACCCTGTATGGCAGTTCTGCTATGTCCTATAGGGTCACTATGAGTGGGAATTGACTCGATGGCAATGTGGTGTGATAGTCTAGAAGAAAACAAATGGAAAAATTATAGAACTGGAATATAATAGAGAAAAGAAAAGAAAAAAAATCTCAAGGGATTAGAATCACTGGGATCGTTTACTCAGCTTGAAGAATGACAATTGGGAGAGCATCTTTTACTCAGTGCAGACTCTCACCACTGACCATTCCTGTACTGATTATAAAGAGGAGGGAATGTGAAGATGCATATGTCCTCTTCTGGGGAGAGAGGCAGATTGGTCAGGGTGGTACAGTATGTTCAGGAGCATTCACTCGTACTGAGACTGCGCTGTAAGGAGAAGCAGCTAAAATTGGTAGCATATTCAATTAAGCCTGCTCTTAAATTGAAAATCAGCATACTGGCTACAGCCAGGATTCTAGACAAATATAATATGTCTCTGCCACATCCTTTTTATGATTTATCATCTCCCATTTTTCTTTTCTGTTCACTCATCCTTATACCACCAACTTGTCATTAGGGTCTAGTAATAGTAGACTCTAGACAAGATAAGTCAGGCTACTGAACAGTTTCTTCTGAGGAAGTGAACTTCCTAACTTTAATCTTCCTGCCCCATTCCACTTCCAACCTCCTGGTTACTCTGCTTTCTAGAAACGCTGTATGGGGCCTTAACATCCCCAATTATCACTACCTGTATTACCCACCCCTGCAGACAGATAGGTCTCAGGAGAACTCTGACTTAAAAAAGGATTTAACATAGCCAGACTCCCAAGAATGTACCTTTTATACAATTGGTTACTCCTGAAAGGATAGTTGTTGTTGTTGTTATGTGCCGTGGAGTCGGTTTTGACTCACAGGAACCCTGTACAGGGTTTCCGAGGCTATAAATCTTTATGGGAGCAGAAAGCCTCATCTTTCTCCCGCGGATAGTATGAAGGTATTTTTGTTAGAAGAAATATGGCAGTGGTTCATTAGTGGAAAGAGTAAAGTTTGAATCAATAAAAATTCCTAGTAGGGTTTCAGTGTAAGACTTACTAAAGCATCCTATTCTATGAAAATTCTTCCATAAACAGTTCTTGTTTGCCTTAAAGTTGCCAAGGTAAGCAAATTAATTTTATGTTAAATGAAAACGTTAAAGTGGCTTTCAACACAGAGAGTTCATAATTTTCCCCAAAGTCTGCCACTCTGGAAATTCTTAATTATATGATTTGTTAAGAATTTTTTAAAAATCGCATACTTATATATCTTTCTTGCAGGAGAAAGGTGAGGGTTTCTACTCCCACAAATATATATTGCCTTGGAAACCCTATACTGGGTTGCTATGAATCAGAACCAGTTCAATGGCACTTAACAACAACGTGTATATTTCTTAGCTTTATCAAGAAGGAACAGCCTCCGTTAAAAAAAAAAAAAAAACACCTAAAAAACCAAAAACGTATAAAAAGACAAAAATATGTACACATACAGAACCAACATTTATTGATGGTTACCATGAATGGGTGGGTTGGTGGGCACTTGGTATTTCTGGTGATGGAAAAAGTAGCCACAAATGTGGGTAGAGTACACATAGCTTGTTCAAAGTAAAAGATGTCACTAAGCACACACACAAACCACCACCCCCCCCGGGATATTTCTGGTGGATACTAAGACATATATGGACTGTACGATCAGCACTGGACTGCTAGCCACAAGGTTGGCAGTTCAAACCCATCAGCTGCTCCTCGAAAACCCTGCACAGGGTGGTTATGAGTAAGAAGCAACTCAACAGCGCTTAATAACAACAAGGCTGGTAGTGCAGTGCATTATGAGCTGGGCTGCTAATTGTAAGATAGCAGTTTGAATCTACCAGCCACTCCAGAGGAGAAACATGAGTCTTCCTCCTCCTCTATGATTTACAGAACTGGCTCCTCAGCACATAACAACCATCACTGCCAAGACACATGGACTGCTAACTGCAAGGTTGGAAATTCAAACCCACAAGCCACTCCTCAAAAACTCTCATAAAATTATCTTAGAATAAGTCAGAGTCAATGGTTATTTGAGTTCAACTGGATGAAATGTTAAATAAACTCAGAATGAAATAAAAAAAAAATTACCTTAAAATAAAAGCATCATGCTCTAAAAAATATTTCCACTTAGAACTATAACCCGATTTCTATTCATAATCATATACATCGCAATGTCATACTCATATTCATTCATAGAAACATTAAACTCCCACACATTTCTGTCACTAAAATTCCTCTCAAGTAATCAGCATTCCATCAAATTGCATTCAAAACCTAAGAGCTGATATTCATTTTGTCCTAACAACTGTATCACACTTAAAGCAAAGACTGAAAGTCTTTTTTATTGAAAAAAAAAAAAAAAAAACGCACCAAAAAATCTAACTGAATTACTATGTTTGATTAGAGGGATTATGAATATTTTCCAAATATTCTACAGTAAAAAAAAAAAAAAAAAAACGCACCAAAAAATCTAACTGAATTACTATGTTTGATTAGAGGGATTATGAATATTTTCCAAATATTCTACAGTTACTATACTTGCTTTCAAAATAGTGATTTTTAAGAAAGTATTTATATCTATGCTTAGTATTAGAGGAACGCCACTGTGATACTATTAGATTAACAGGTTTTAAATTTTATTGAATCAACATATATTTAGTGTATACTCATCTGGTGGTAGTGGTTGTGTTCCACTGAGCCAGTTCCAATTCAGTGACACTGTATAGAGTTTCTGAGGCTGTAAATCTTTATGAGAGCAGAAAGCCTCATCTTTCTCCCTCTGAGCCAACCAGTAGATTCAAACTACTGACCTTGTGGTTAGCAGCCCAGCTTGTAATCCATTATGCTACCAGGACTCATTGTACTCATCTCATACAAGCACCAACTTAGGTTCTAAGGACATAATGATGAGGAGTCAAAACTTGACATGATTCTAGATCTCAAGTAATCCAGTATAGATAGAGATCAATCAAGTAATCACAAATTAAAAAAAAATTATTAAAATCTAAGATGAATACTATGAAATAAATACCATTCTATAAGCACTTATAACAATCACTATTGTTGTTGTTGTTAAGTACTGTCAAGTCAGTTGTGACTCATAGCTACACTGTCTAGGGTTTCTGAGGAGTGGCTGGTGGGTTTGAATTGCCGATCTTGTGGTTCAAAAGACCTTGCTGTCCAGTGCTTTATCCCACAGCACCACACCAGGACTCCAATCACTACTGTAGAAATCTTGAATAAACTTAACCTTGTCTGGAGGGTATCAGAGAAAACTTGCAGGGAAGTGATCCTTGGGCTGAAAACTAAAGGATGAATATATTAAATAGGTTAATTATAGGTGGGGGGACAACAAAATACCCTTTCCCCCTTTAAAAAGATCTCTCTGGCTGCAATGTTCAGAACAGGTGTTATCAAACAGATTACAACTGATAGTTAACGTACAGGAAAGAGTACAACTTGCCCCATGGGCTGAAATCTTTATGGGAGCAGACTGCCAAGTCTTTTCTCTACCAACCTTTTCATTAGCAGCTAAGTGCTTATTTTAACCTTTGCATCATTAGGACTCCTTTAGAATGGACAAGAGAACACAGTCAAGAAATTACTACAGTAGAACATATCAGAGATGATGGCAGTTTGGTAGTAACTGTGGAAACTGAGAGGCACAAACAGATTAAAGAG